AATAGGGGTTAAATATAAAATTTTACAAAATAAAGGATATAAATAAAAATGAAAATGTAAGTTGAATGGTAAAACTTGTAAATATAGAAAATCAGATTTTTTTTAAATGGGTGGGTCCCACACAAACTAACCTATTTCTACCAACAAAAATAAAACTAACCTATTTTTATAAACCTTTTTCAAAACCAACCCATTTTTGCAAAAAACTCAAACGGGTTGGGTTGGTTTGGGTTGAACTTTTGTTTGGGTTGGGTTGGGTTGAAAATTTTCAAACCGCCAACATTGGGTTGGGTTGGGTTGTTAAAACGGCTCCAAACCGATCAACGCGAGCACCCCAAGTAATAGTGATACAACACTCTACGATCTCCTTTTAGAAATGCATGGTACACAACGTAAGCAATTTATTGAAGGCTAGTTGTTACAAAACACACGTTGCTATTCTAAATGAGGAGTAGCCACAAGACGTAACGGATTTTTCCTATGGACTGTAAGAGCATTTCTCTCACTCATGTCCAAATTCTCCCCTCTCTCTCCACCAGGAAGTGCAAGATCAAATTTGTAAACCACATTCGCAAGAGAAAGCTCCATTAGGGTATTGGCAAACTGAACACCAGGACACCCTCTCCTTCCACCACCAAAAGGGATGAACTCAAGATGAGATCCTTTGTAATCATATGGACTATTCAAAAATCTCTCTGGCCTAAACTCCTCGTGTTCCTCCCATATCGCAGGATCTCGTCCTAGTGACCATAAGTTGATAAATACTTTCGTTTTGGCTTGGATATCATATCCCATCAATTTGACATCTTCAGACGATGCTCGAATAACTAGTGGAGCAGGTGCATGTAGGCGTAAAGTCTCTTTGAACACAGCATTCAAGTACTCAAGTTTTCCTATGTCGTCCTCCGTGATTTCTGGTTTGCCTTGGGCTATAAACTTCACTTCTTTTTGTAGTTTTTTCATTACTCGTGGGTTTCTTACTAGCTCACTGAATGCCAATTCTAGTGTTGTGAATGTTGTATCTGCTGCACCAGCAAATGTCCTGTAGATAACGATAAGACGTACGAAAGTAATTAGTTGGCTGTAATTATATATATATACATATATATATATATATATATATATCTATATATATATATATAGGGGAGCGATCAAATGCAAACCWCTCAATTTGTACAAACCGTGCAAACCGCATTCAACCAATCATAATTTTTCATTTTGTTCATTTTTTTGTAATTATGAGAGGTTGATTAATCATTTTTATTGTGGAGGGTGTTAATCATAGANAATTTATTGCATAAAACCATTGTAACTTATGCTTAGTAACTTGTATTTAAGACTTTGTCTTAAATGGTTATATATATATATATATATATATATATATGTAAAATATTACATATATTCCACATGGTATGTATAGTGAATAAAAATTCTCTTATCGGGTCCAACACACACATACATGGATGCAATACATACCTATATACAAACACATAATCCGATATCATTGTTATTATTGGAATTTAATAACTATTAAAAAAGTCTTATTTGTTTTTACGGGTCTTAGTTGAGTCCAATACACACCACATGCTCATATGCAATACATGTCTTCTCACAAACTAGTATCGGGCTTTAATGGTTCTTATTAAGTTTTTAATGGATCTATTGGGTTTCTTTTAACCGTATTAGGCTTTAATGAATGTTAGCTGAGCTTTAATGGTTTTATTGGGCTTTAATGATTCTTATTGAGTTTTTACTGGATCTATTAATTTAATGTATGATGTTTAGCGGCATTTCTTCTTTCTAGCATTTTTTTTAATATTTACAAGTTTTATAGGTTTTACATAAAGATTTTACATACATGTTTTACAAGATTTAAATATTTACAAAAACCTATTTCTGGAGTTGGGTGATTTTCCGGTGGATTTATCCGCTGGAAATATTTAAAAAATAAAAATAAAAATTTTAAAAATAATGTTTAATTTCCGACGGATTTCGCTGTCGAAAAAGATGACGAGTTTGGTAGTAATAGTTAGGGGTGCTCAAAAACCCGATGAACCCGACCAACCCAACCCGAATTTAAAAAAAAACCAACCCGAATTAAAAAAAAACCCAATCCGAGGTAACCCGATGCATGATCGATAAAAAAATTAGCCAACCCGACCTTATTGGGTTGGAATCGAGTCAGGCCCAAAAAAACCCGACCAACCCGACAACCCGATGAACCCGACCTTAACTTTAGCTTTGAATTGTAGATGACAATCATGACATGACCAACCTCAACGTCAAGAAAGCGAAAGCATCGGGGTTGGAAACGTCTAAAACTATTGTTGTTGATTGATGTATTATCATTTGGTTTAAGCATTTTTATTGTAATATCTAAATATTTGATGAACTTGCATATTATCTTGAATGGTCGGTCGTATTTCAAAGGAAAGTTTTCTTTATTTTTATGTGATTTTACATTGTTTAAACACAACCCAATCAACCCGATCAACCCAAACGGGTTGGGTTGGGTTGGGTTGAACTTTTGTTTAGGTTGGGTTGGTTTGAAAATTTTCAAACCGCCAACATTGGGTTGAGTTGTTAAAACGGCTCCAAACCGATCAACCCGGGCCGTGAGCACCCCTAATGCTCATTCGAGCTAAAGATGGGATTTGGAAACCTAAGATGTGTCTTAAACTTGAGTGCAATTACCATGGAACCCGATCCAACTTTTTTTTTCGAAAACACATAAACATCCCAAATGGCGACGAGCTATGTCGGATGAATTTAATGCCTTAATTGAAAATAACATATGATGCAAACCAAAACTTGGTTGGATCAAAATGGATTTAGAAAAAAAGTACAAGTCTGATGGGTCTGTTGAATTGGTGTAAGGCTCGATAACCATCAAGCTGGGGTGGATTTTCTTAAACTTTCAGCTCTATGGTGCGTTCCACAACACTCCACTTGGTCATATCTCTAGTTGTCTCTTTTGGATGGATGATCTATCAACGAAACGTGCTTCTTCATGGTATTTTACTTGATGAAGTGTACCTGTACATGAAGCAACTTCATCCTGATTTTCTCAATCGTTTCTGTCATTCAAAGAAGGCCATTTTTGGGTTCAAACAAGCTCCTAGAGCTTGGTTTCATTGTTGGCACTTCTTTTCATATCACTTTGATAATTTTATGTTTATATTTCATCCTAGAAATTTTGTAGTCTATCTCTTACTTTATGTTGATGATATAATTGTCACCCCCCTTAATTTCTAAATTGATCAATAATTTAACATCTCAATTTGCTATAAAAGATTTGGGGGATCTTCATTCCTTCTTACGTTTCAGGTTGTGCATAGATGTCGAGGTTTGAATTTGTTCTAACATAAATATGTTATAGATCTCATTTACAAATTTCACCTTCACACCGCTAAGCAGGTGTGCTCACCTTTCCCCTCTCGTACCACACTCTCTCTTATTGATGGAGAGTTAGCAGATCCGATTGAGTATCGCATTATGGTAGGTGCCTTATAATACTTAACTACGATCAAATATTGCTTACAATGTACATTTAGTTCCCCAATTTATGCGCACTCCTCACACATCACCTTCTAGTTGTCAAGCGTGTCTTCAGGTATTTGCAGAGTACTTAAGATCATGGTATATGGCTACAACCCACGAAGTCATTATTGCCTTTTCTAAGCCCATTGGGCAGGATGTCCTACGACTTCCTGCGCTACTACTGGCTATGCCGTTTCCTTAGGGGACAATCTTATTTCCTGGTGTTCTAAGAAACAACCTATCGTCTTTAAAGCGTCCACAAAAGCAAAAGCTGCAGATACCGTTCAAGATACGCTTTGGATACACTCTCTTCTGGTTGAGTTGGATATCATTCTTTGTCAAGCGGTCCGTTTGTACTGTGACAATGTGTCAACTTCGTGATGATCGCATCAAAACATATCGCAGTTGATTATCACTTTTTTTAGATCGTTTTGCTCACGGGGACTTAACGTTTCAGAAAGCGGCTCGTGGCTTTGATATCTTGGTAAAATAAGAGATCGATTGATATGTCCCTACCCAACTTCAGGTTACTGATATCTTCACTAAGACCCTGCCAGATCAAGGGTTTCCATTTTTGCGTTCCAATCTGCACGTGGTTTCCCCTGTTGAGATTGAGAGGGTCTAATAGTGTACGTTTATGCATATTTATGTTATTATATCAAGTGTGGTCGTACAAATTAAATATTTATGATATTATTAACTCTAATTATAATGTATTACTGGCGGATTTCCGACCGATTTTTGATTAATTTATTAAGATTAACATCCGTCCGAAAATAATTAAAGATTGAAATTTATTATTTAAATTACCGGTGGACAATAATAAATTCTTCAAGATTTTTTTAAAAAGATATCACTGTTTTCCTGCGGATTTTCTGCGGCATTTTTCCGTCAGATTCCGGCGGAGATCTAGCAGATATTTGAAAATTTGTTTTTTATCCCGTTTTTCATACTTTAGGTTATATATATACTACTCGTGTACCCGCGTGATGCATCGCGGGTGAATCACAATTATGAAACATTAGTTTTAACCTTGAATCATGAGTTTGTGTGGTTATTTTGCAAGTCAACTAATATATAAAGTTGAAGGTAATATGATGTATTAGCAAAATCGAATGGAAAAATAATTGCACACGTGAATGGAAAAGCTTGATATTTGGTAACTAAGTTGTTCACCCAAACATGTCCGGTAAGCGCTTACCAGTAGGATTCAACACTATCACTTGTCTTACCGGGTAAGGTTTTAGTTCATCAAAGCAACATCGCATACAACAATTCACCCTAATCGAGTAAGAATACCTATCACGGTAGATAAATATCTGAACTTTATTCATTATCATAACAAAAATAAGCCAAGAAAATTAAGCTTCGAATTGTGATGCTAGGTACAGATTCAGAAGTAATTAACAATTTGATATAACTTGTACAAACACTGAAAAATGGAGGAAACAAAGAACCACAAGATGCTAGTTATAAATGGATCCAAACATTCAATGGAAACTTTAATCGAGAAGCTTGAAGCTTGAATCTTGTTGGGATTGGATTTCTTYTCAATTCAAGAGCTTCTGCCTTTGAATACAACAACCGACTCTCAACTGTCTAGACAACAACTAATTTGTTAGTTGTTTTGGTGGACATGCAGCAACAATTTGGCAACAATATATCGTTATGCTACTTCTATTTTCACGTGTTGCATGTTAAGAAACTACTTTGCTGCAGCTGCTAATTCTATAACAGAGTTGTAAAAAAAAGATAGCATAAATATATAAAATGATATTACATTGAATATAAATCCAGTACTTGAATTGGTTCCGTTCACCAAGGACAAATGATAGACAACATTGTAGTGAGACTTTTTAACATACTATATTAACCAAGCAATAATAAGCTTAATTATAGCTCTTATCTATTGTTTTTTTGTGGTCGGTGGTGTAATGTAAATATTTTTGTAGGTGATATCAAATGTGAGAATGTGTCGGTTGCTTCTTAGAATTGGCTTTACCTTGCCGACTTTGCATCATTTAAATCGAACTACATTCCTTATATATATATATATATATATATATATAGATATATATATAGATATATATATAGATATATATATATATAGAGAGAGAGAGAGAGGTGGGTTATTATACAACCCTTTACATTTGTACAACCAATACAATACAATCTCAACCGTTCATTTAATTTGATGAATATGTGATTTCATATAAGTTTTGATTATTTCCTAATATAAAGTATTGATCATAATTAATGAACCATATTTATATTCCATGAATATTCAAATCATAATAAATGAACTCCCATCATTTCTATAAATATCTCAATTAATTGGGTTGCATTAGTTGTATAAATGGATATGGTTGTATTTGAAATATACCCATATATATATATATATATATATATATATTGTGGTTAGATGAAACAACAAACATGAGTGTTGGTATGTAAACATATTTTCATTTTTTTTGTAAGCAAAGCTTGCTTGTTTGTTTCGTAAGTACTTGTGTATCAGCACTTCAATATTACATATTTGTTACATGTATAGGATTAAATCTAGTGATGGACAATTTTTGTAAGTCACCAAAAATCAGACACAAAATGATAGCAAAGGCTTGGGTTTTTTAAATGACTCAAACCGTCCACGTCAACTCGTGTACGCTCCTAACCAAGGCCATTTGGGTCATTTGAGCCCCAAGAACGGTCAGCCCCAGTGCTAAACTAGATGCCTCAACATTCAATTAGCCATATGAAAAAGGACCTTGTACATCAGAAATTGCTCACGATTGTTCACCCTCAGGTGAGAGTTAAACACAGAGGTGGCAATTGCCAATTTTAACCCATTTATATTAAAATGATTGAAATTGACCAATTTAAATACATTTCTTAAGAAAATGGATACTTTAATGAATGTAATTATGTAACAAACTCAAAATGAAAGCAAATGATTATTGGTCTCCTCCTCCTCCTCCTCCTATGTTCTATTACAACATAACACCTAAACCAAACCAAACCCAAACCAACAATCCCCCCCAGCATCTGCCAGTACTAATAAGAGCTTCGTTAGAAGTCAATGGCCGCGCAGCATGCCTTTCTCATAATTATGCACTCCTTGCATATTATGCACACCATGGGATTCGAACCCGTGACCTGCTCTGATACCAATTGTTAGGATCAAACGCTTACCCACTACACCAAAAACAATTGCCTTGGTGAAGGCGCAACCTTATTTCCTTTATAGCGTAGCAGCCAGCGCCACGTTTCGATTTAGGAAGATGCTGGAACCGTGGCCAACATGGTGGTCTCTTTCGCATGGAATCCACGGTACTTGGAGTCAACTTCGGTCAGGTAGTAGGTGACCGGGGCTAAAAAAGTGGTGTCTTTGCTAGTCACAAAGTCCTTGCCTCCATATCTGTGTTCCATTTCCTGCATCAGTTCCACAAATTCCATAAATTTTTCTGGCACAACAACCTGCACCCAACAACACCACATACTTATCAAACTACTTGTTTCTAGTCATACCACTATCTTAAAACCAAACCAAACCATACAAACCAAGTAAATCCTAGACACCGGCCTAACCCTTTCCACTGTCGCTCCAAGAGCCTCTAGTATTCGAGACCGAAATGTTCAACATAATGAGGATAAGTAAGAGGCCGTTTACTAAACGCTTGCCCGTAAGTGCTTACCGGGTCACTTTACATTATCGAACTAACATGTAAATGATTCAGAATCTTTACCCAGTAAGAGCGATGACAAGGACCGAGAGTCTTACCCGGTAAGTGAGAGTAACGACTCTTACCCAAAAAGCTCCTACCGGATAAAAATGTTCCTCACATAAATACATAATTCATATTGCAATATTCTAAGTTTTGATTTCAACATCTAAAATGGTAAAATAGAACAACAATGATGTGTTTTTATATGTCGATAGGTTCGGAACACTTTGGAGCAAAAAAGGGACAAAAAGAAGATTTTTGACAGCTTTACGAGACTATGGTATTTCAAGCATATCTAACTCGTCCGAGCTCGGATTTAAGTTATTCATGATGATCTGAAAATGTAACAAACAGCCCCACAAATTTTATGTTTTGAGTTTCTGCAGATTCAGACTGCTTCTAAGACAAAATTGACGTCGAAGGCAGAAAAGAGCTGCAGGACAGCAGTTGACAGCAGCCACGAAAGTAGAACAACAACAGGTGACAATAAAGATGGTAAAATAGAACAACAGCAGGTGACAATATTGTTTATGTGGATGGATGTGCTTGGTTGCATTTACTTTTCATTATGATATGTGTATGTTTGTTTAATGTGCTGCTATTTTATTCCAGCTTTTGTCTTTGGTTATAGAAATACAATAACAACTTAACTTACATAAGTAACTGTTTGTAGGTTCTGGTGGATAAAAAAGTTTACAACGCTAACTCTACTCCTCATCATGCTCATAACAAAGGTAAAATGTTTGATTAGAATCATGATCTTAAGTTTGTTGAGAGTTCCTACTACCAATTGTTACGGGTTAATTGCACTTGGCCTCCTATTAGATGGCACATTTTTGTGACCATTAATTGGCATTTGAGAGAACTCTCAAAAAAATTGTTCATTTGATATACCCTTTTATGTCCTCTATATTAATCGTCATCCTTATATATAGTTTTACATTATTAAGGACGATTTTTTTTTAATTTACAACTAACACTTGTACATTATGGTCTGGTTATTGTCTTCTCCTCGAAAGGTCTGGCTTGTAGTGGGTAGAATGTTATTAGCAAGATCTTTGTTTAGTGATACAGGTAGTGGCAGCCCTGATATGTATCTCATGCTACAAAAAGAACTTATAAATGAGCATAAATAACCAATATGTACTAGAACCAAAAAGAATCCATTTTTAAATTTTTAGAGTGTTAAATAAGTTGTTTTTTTTACTCCAAAATTGAGAAATGTTATTCATGTTGTTTAACTACATTTGGAGAGTGAAAGTCATTCAGGTAGAAAGTAAACAGGAATGATGGAGCCTAAAAAAGAAATGCTGGAGAGTGAAGCATATATAGATTGAAGTAAAACATTGCTAGAATAAATTATCATATGGCCTTTGTCAATGATAGATGTTTACACAATAACAAAGAAAGATAACATGGTTAATGTGTATATGGACTCTTGCTTTTTGGAGCTACGATTCTTGCAGGAATAAGAGTATTATTTCAGCTCAGGCTTTGCCATCACACATAAGTAATATTTGTACCTAATTATGCTCTTCCTGGATTTGGAGGGATGATGTTGATCATGAAGTGCATCATCCTGGATTTCTTTGAAGTAGTTTTGACATCAAACCATAAGGGGAACTGATAGAAATACACACTTAACAAAAGATTAGCAGTTCAAAGCAAAGATTTAAAATTGATACCTTTGACTCAAGCAGGGTTTCTTTTGCAGTTGGTGTTTAAAGAAAATGTGTACTTGTATCCTAATTGATCTCTTAAATTGTTTTTTCTTCTTATTTACAGAATCAGCAGGTAAACATATAAAGACCACTTGAAAATGAGTTTTTGAAAGTTAAGCAGTGAACCTGTCTAATACATCTGTGTATGGCATATGTTTATGGCGGCTGTTCATATTAAGTTACCAACCCAATTAAGAGCTTAAGCTCATAGAGACTGTGTTCATATTAAGTTACCAACCCAGCTGTTCATCTAGCCCTCTTTCACATTTTTGGAACTTTGCTTTCCTCTATATCAAGCTTATTTATATATTTATATATGCATTCATGTTAAATGAGATCATAAGTTTCTCATATATATGATTTAACAAATGCAAGATGACCAAAAAAGGGTCACGTAAATATGCAATACCTGTGATATTCTTGGCGCATTCTGTTGACAATCCTGAGCTTAGAGGATAAAGGGTATCATCAAAAAATCAAACACAAGAAGGTTTATTGAAGATTAGTTCAAATTGCAATCATGACCATACAAAAGAGGAAACATCTAAAACACACCTTTTTTATGCTCCGATGACCCGCCMTGTTCAAAGACACCATCAATATAATGTGCAGCAACGATAACCACCAACATTTCACATTCACAGCAGAATCGACTTACAACACAGTATCGAGGCCCGTGACTTTTGCAGTCTGTATATTGCGTATACTGTCATCAAAGAACTCAAATAAGAATATGTAAACCACAGATGACGACAATCGGAATCCATAAACCTGTCTTCCTGATGCCTGCCTTCCTGCTACGAGAACTCAAATAAGATGAAATGGATGAACGGTTTAGCTACAAAAACGAAATGAAGAACCTGAGTTTTGAAGAACATGTAAACCACGTCAATACCTCAGAGAAATTGCAAGTTTGATTGCTATAAAATGATCTTTGTTGACTAATCTTTCTTTGAAGTTCATAATGCCATTCCATGATGAGTTGAAAACATTAACCCATTTGATATCTAAACTTAGACTTCTTCTTTTTATACAATAATGAGACAACAAAGTTCTATCTTGTTGTCTGAGTTCCTGTGAAAATCCAAAACATTCAAAACAATTTTCAAATTAGCACTATACTCTGTAATCAGAAAGACAGACTCCTGGTGAAGAACATGGATCAATTTTAATGCTTGCACTATCCAAACACATTGTAAATTCCAGGAGAATGGGTGTTATTGGGCTTAATGCAACATATGAAATGCGATCTCGTATTCCCCAAACATTTTATTGATTGGAATAACTGGCCCTTAATATAGTGCAACTTATTAGTGAGTGTACCTGAATAATAAAGAATTAAAACATGCTACAACAAGACAAATGGAATTTAATCGAATCATAAAGGCATTAGCCATAGATGGTTCCACAATCCTACATTTATTCCAGACCCGAAATATATAGAAACTTGTTTATATGAAAGCATATAAAGCTTCTTGTCATATTCAAAAGGATGACTACAAAAAATTTGTTTTCAAAGAAGTTGGAATTAAACATACCTTAAATTTTGACATGGCACTAAGCTTCTGGGAATCCACTCCACCTGATTTATTTAGTGAACCAGCCACAGGCTTCTCAGGCTGAGAACACATATTCGGGGCAAATATCTGAGGAAGTTTGCATTTGCATGAAGACAAAAGTTGAATGGAATCAAAATGCAATAAATCACGATTTTTTTCCAGGAACCCAATTGTATCATAAGTAAACTGAGAGGAACAAATGAGAACATAACTCTGAGACAACAAAAACATGTATAAAAACTCAAAAGTATTTAGCTTTTGTACTTTTCATTCTAAACCAAATCAAACCAATTTTTTTTAGGGGGGGGGGAGGAGGTGTACGCAAACAGGTGGAATTGATATCCTTTTGCTCTTGGAAATTAGTACCGGGAAAAAAACAGCATTACTGATTACATTCATCAAGAACCCTATAATGAGGAACTCTCCGTATTAACATGAAAAGAAGTTAATATGAAAGTTTCGCTACAACAAACACCAACACAAAATGTAAATCGCTAGGGTTTTGAAATGGAAATGGACAATACCTCAGAGAAATCGCTAGCGAGCCATGAAATGTAAATCAATACCTCAGGGAAATCGTTGTTGAAAATCAATACTCCAAAACCCTGGTTATATGCATAGTCGTCTTGGGAGCCACGAATTTGAAGTCTGAAATCGTCCATTTGTGCAAAGTAGCAGGAAGAAAGCAAGCTTTGATCTTACCAATTTCAAAGAGGAAAACCCTGGTTATATGCTCAGTCCTCTTGGAGCCACGAATTTGACGTCTGAATTATGGAAAGTAGCAGGATGGGAAGAAATTTGACCTTACCAATTTCAGAGAGGAGAGCTGGAAAAAGGGTTGTTATAGAAGAAAGTAAGGTCTGACCTATCACCAAAAGGGTGTTGTTAAAGAAGAAGTCTGAATTGTGAGAGATAAGGTCAATGCATAAAAAACTTGTACTATATGCTTTATGACTTGTCTTTAAGAGTTTTTTGAATTTATTGCATAAAACCATTGTAACTTATGCTTAGTAACTTGTATTTAAGAC